CAAAGGCTCCCAGCTCCTGCGAAGAAAGGTACAGGGCGGGTGAGGGGTACTGCCAACGTTCAGCTCTCGGAGTCCGCTGGGAGGGGTCGCGCACAATGCCAAACAGTATTTAAAAACAAAGCCCTTTGCTGGCATTTGTAAAGCAGCCAGAGCATGGATGATCTACACTTACTGCAGCAGCAGAGGCAGGACGCAGAGCACAGAGAATCTACTCGAAGGAGGAGAGTGGCTTTTAGGACAACTGAACAGAAACTTCCAACCCTCCTAATAATGCCACCCCATGCAGATGGGAAAACATGACAGGCTAGCTCAGCTGTGGGCAGGACTGGGTGGGGAGGCCCGCAGGCTTGATCAGGAGAGGAAAAGCTGACCGAACTGGAGAAAACACACAAAGAACACGCTGCGGCCAAGGGCGTGGGTAAGGAATCTAAGTGGGCGAGTGTGCTGCTTATTTCTCGTGGCTTTCCAGAACACCGAGGAAGAGACAAGAGAACACCCAGCAGCCAGGAGCAGGGGAATGAGGCTGCCACAGCCTTTAATTTGAAACTCAGAATTGAGCTCCACACCAAGGCTGACTCCTGGGGCCTTTGCCTTGAGATTTTTTTTTGTGATTTGCATTACAACCATCTATTTGCATCTCAACTGTCATGCAGTACAGATGGGCTCTTGGTGGTTTCAGCCCATCCTATCCCATCCTATTCAACCCTTCCTTCTCGGGCTTCTGTGAGTTTTCTGTAGCTGGGCAAAGGAGAAGAAATTACTCAGCAGGACTTGACAATGAGGATGGAGTCTTCGGGAGATAGAAAGGGCTTCTTTCAAGGACCATTGTTGTCTTGAATTCTCCTGCGGAGGCTGAGATTCAGCAAGAAACTGGGCAGCATCTTCCATCTGGAGGGGATGCCAGCATTGTCTAGTCTTTGTGAATTAGATTAGCATCCTTCTTGGGAATGACTGCCATAAAGTGCTAACTGAAAGGTTAAACTGCTTCCTCTTTCCCTTTCTGTTTTCCATCAGCACCCTCTGCTGCCCCACTGTGGACTTTTGAGGTCACCTTCTTATACAAACTCAGGGGGAACTGAGCTTTAGCCCAGGGGTATTGACTGAGGATTGAGTTTGGACAAAGCTCTGAGCCACCTCATGGCTACTTTTATCATTAAATCGTGCTTTAATTCAACCAGCACACATTTCTGCAGTGCCTCCCAAATGCCAGGCAGGGTGTGAGGCTCTGGGTTACACTGGCGAGCAAAAGCAGGCCTGCCCCTGCCTGTGAATTCTTCATTTTAATCCGTGAGACAGGTATGATTGAGATCATCACACTAACATCTGCAAAACCACAATAATGGTGAGTGCAAGGGAGAATCACATGTTCTCTAGACTCTGTGACAAAAAGATTTCACCTCTCCTCATGCTCCTTTCCCTCCTCCTAGTTTGCTCGATGAACACATTTTTCCACCACGCCTAGCAAATCCAGCCACCTTCACCCCAGACACGAATCCCAACACCTATCCTCCCCTCAGAAAGAGAACTGGAAGAAACAACTAATTTTTAAAATCTCCTTTTACAAAAGATGCCTGATTTCTCTTTGAGGTTCCCTGATTTTTCACAGAGTCTGGACGTTGGCAACGTGGCTGAACTACTCCACTCTGGGAACGTGGGGCCTGACCCTTAGCACCCAAGACTGGGCCTTGGGATCATTTACCTCATCCAGATCTGGATCCCTCCAAAATTCTGGAGAGAAGAGATGGGAGACATTAAAAAAAACCCAACAACAACAAAAAAACACCAGGGCAATTTAAAAAGCAATTTATTCCTCCATCTTATTTAGGAATTGGCCCAGGACCACGTCTGGGATGGTTTGGGTGCAGCTCTACGGGGAGGCTGGACTGTGACCCAGAGGACCTCAGGGTGGGGAGTCTGGGCTTCTGGGCTGCCTTTTTTCATCAGTAGTTCTCTTTGTACCCCACTGAGCCCTGGAGAAGCGCGGCCCTCTAGGGAGGAGCCAGCCCTTTACTGTCAGACTGGCCAACTCCCTGGGGCAAGCAGTGCAATGGTCCCCGGTAGCACCGGGCACCCGGTCCTCCACAGGCATGCTGACACCTTTCTCTGGGTGGGGAGCAACCACCAGAGGCAGGCTGGACCCAGACACCCCTCAGCCTCCCTGCAGACGCTGTGGACAGGCCTTCCAGCAAAGCAGGACTGAGCTAAACCCCAAGGGGTCAGGGTGGCCCTGAAATCCCCCAACCAGTGGTGGTGAGAAGGCCCTGGGGTTCTGGCCCTGCTGGTGGGGATGCTCCCTGGACCATCTGGTTAACATCTGGGTGTGTGGCAGGTACTGTGCTAAGTCCTACAGACCAAAGGCCTGATCTCCTTCTCTATCCCTTGTTGGCAAGGCCAATATGTAGCTCTTCCTCATATTCCCCAGCCTTCTGGCAGTGAGGTGGCGCCACGTCCCTAGTTCTGGGCAGTTCCGGGCAGCTCAGGATGAAGCACAGAAGAGCTGGTGCTTGCCCGCCTAGCTGCCCCCTCCCTCCTGCAGGGACCAATGTGACTCTGGAGCCTGTACCTGAGTGACTACAGAGTGGGGTCTCCCTGCCCACCTGTGCTGGATGAGTAGTAATAAATCTCTGAGCGACAGGTCATGATCCCTGGGTCCTGGGATCAAGCCCCACGTCCAGCTCCCTGCTCAGTGGAGAGCCTGCTTCTCCCTCTCTCTCTGCCTGCCTCTCTGCCTATTTGTGCTTTCTCTCTCTGTGTCAAATAAATAAATAAAATCTTTAAAAAATAAAAAAATAAAAAAAAAATCTCTGAGCGAGAAATAAACCTCTGTTTCAGGGTTAATTTGTGACTGCAATAGAAATGGATACATTTTCACACAGATGAGCAAAGTGATGCTTAGAAAGGGTCCACGGCTCATCGAAGGTCGCAGAGATAGCAAGAATTGCAAGGCTGGATTGAACACAGGGCCTGGCTGATTCCAGAGCTTGGGCCACAAGCTGCCTCCCCTCTAGGTTGCCTCCAAAATCGAGCCCCAATTCCTCGGTTTGGCATTCAAGGCTCAAGGCCTGTGTCCCAGCCCAGCCTCGCACCAGCCCGCTATACAAACCCTGCGTCCATCACACAGTACAGCCTGCTCCCTCCTCCTACTTGCAGGTTCCTCTCTCTGGGCCTCTCTGTGGGCCACTGCCCAACCCGCCAGCCCTCCTGGCTGCTTTTCACCATCTGATTTGTGTCCCAAGACTCAGCCCTGGTCCCCCTTTCACCGTAGAGCTTTGGCTGGTCCTCTGGCCCCTTCTTCCCCCAACCTCGGCCGAGCTCTGGAGCCCTCTCTGCCCGTTGTCACTGGCCCGCACGCGGGGACCAGCGTTCTCTTGGACATTCGTCATAGCCTGAATCCAGACAGGGTACTTTCTCCCGAGGCTCTCACTCCCACAGCAGTGTCTAAAGGGGGTGCTATGCTCCAGGGGGATAAAAGATGACACACTGGGGCATGAGAAAATGTTGGAGCTTGTTTTGATACCTGTTTATCTCCACCTTTTAAACTTTCTACATTTTTGCATATGTTTTAAAAAGTACCTACTACCCTTGTGTAAACACACTTGGTCCCATGGGCTACACTCCCCCAAGGGACCAAATATAGCTCCTTGTAAACAGTAGGTGCTCAGTACATACTTTAGTTATCTCAGATAGGGATGGGATGACTTAGCAGGAGGTGGGGGCACGTGGCTGATGCACAGGCGCATGCGCGCACACACACAGTGGGACCGACCTGCCCTCGCAGACCTGCGTCCTTGGTGGGGGCAAGGGTTGGCCGGGGCGGACGTGGACGGTGTGCAGCTAAGAGAAGCTGACAGGAGACGGTTGAATCATGGGAGGAGGGGCTCCTGGGCAGGTGTGTTGGTGGTTTGTTGAGCAGCCGGAGTAGAGAGGGGCAGGAGGTAGCAGGAAGCCAGGCCTGGAGCAAGGCCGGTGCGGGAGTCCTGCATTGTAAGGTGTAATTGCAGAGAAGCCCCACAGGCTGGAAAACCTAATGGAATTCCTGAGCAGAGTGGGCCAGGAGCAGCGGTAATAAATAGAAGTGCTATTAAGGATTGTGGCTGCTGACAGGCAGGGGAGAGACGGGACACGGGAGGGGCGGGGAGGAGGAAGGCTGAGAGGGTCTCCCCATCAGCATGGAAGCCTGTCCCATCCAGGCCTGGTGGGGCAAGGGCCCCATCCCAGAGCCTCCTCCCGCCTGTCCTTCTGGAGCTCTCCCTCACTCACGGCACATGTCCCTTCCTCTTAAGACTGGCCTCAGCCAGGCAGACCCTGTAGGGGGCTGCAGGCTTCCCAGACCCCCAGAGTCTCCTTGTGGCCTGGGATCCCCTTGAAAGCACTTATGCTGCTCACATGGAAAAGGAGGAGTCATTACTACACCAAAAGCAGAAGTAAGACCTTTTTTTCCAAGGTCGTATTTATACAACAGCCCCCAACTTTTAAAATATCTATTTTTGGGGGGCACCTGGGTGGCTCAGTCATTAAGCGTCTGCCTTCAGCTTGGGTCATGATCCCAGGGTCCTGGGATCGAGTCCTGCATCGGGCTCCCTGCTCCGTGGGAAACCTGCTTCTCCCTCTCCCACTCCCCCTTCTTGTGTTCCCTCTCTCGCTGTGTCTCTCTCTATATCAAAAAATAAATAAAATCTTTAAAAAAAATAAAATATCTATTTTTTGGTACATGTTTTATAATGTACATACTAGATCAACAGGATGAGCATATCTTCCTAAATAAATCACTAAATGAAGAACTACACACCAGAAGTGTGTGTTCCAAGAGTTTTTGTGGGGGTGGGGGGTAGGCTGAGGATTACAGACTGCTGATTTTTGCAGGGGAGGAAGGGCAGGAGTGTTTGTTTCTATTTTATAGATGGGGACTTGGAAGCCCAGAGATACCTGGCATCTTTGCCAGGGTTGGACGGCTCAGGAAGGGCGGGGGTCTGGACAGGCCACGCATCCCCGGAACTCACCTCGTCCTTGTCCACCACCTGGATGAAGAGGGGTAGGGCGAAGCCCACCTGTGCGAGCTCGGTGATGGCCACACTGTATTCAGAGCTGTTGAACTCCGGGGCATTGTCGTTGATGTCGATAACCAGGATGTTGAAGGCTGTGGTCACTGTGGCATCGGATGGAGTGCGGTCATCATTCAGTTCTGTGCCCTGCAGGGAGAGGACAAACACCCCAGAGATGAAGGCAGCCATAATCACAATATGATCATTTACCAAGGCTTTCTCAATGGTAGGTCCTGTGCTTTATGTGAATGATCCCATCCCCTCACCACCATCCCGGGAAGAAGATTCTATCGTTAGCATCCCCATTTTACCTCTGAGGAAACTGAGGCTCAGAGAGGTTAAGTAACTTGCATAAGGACACACAGTCAGAGTAGGTGTCAAACTTAGGCAGTAGGATTCCAGAACCAAGGGGATGAGGTGGCATGGTGATGATAAGACAGATCTGGGGGCTCATCAAGGGGCAAAGGGAGACTATTCAATTTGGCAGATGATAAAACTGAGGTCAAGAATTTTTATGCTAGCAGGTAATCAAGACTGAATTTGGCATCTGCTATGGCCCAAACACTGTGCTAGGTACCATGAGGGTCTGTGTCAGACTCAGGGAAAAATCCTGAGTGCCAAATCCTTGGGTGCCCTGTCTCTGCACCAGAGCCCACTGGCCCCCAAATACCCATTCCCAGGTCTCACTCAATTTTCTGAACCCAAATCTCTGGGCAGGAGGCCCAGGACTAGCTATCTTTTACCAGTGCCCCAGGAGATTTGGATTCACAGCCAAGTTTGGGAACTCACCCTCACATTTTATATAAAGGTGGAAGAACTGAGCTCGGGGTCCCACAGATCTGTCTTACCATCTTATCTGTCTTATCAACACCACGCCACCTCGTCCCCTTGGTTCTGGAATCCTACTGCCTAAGTTTGACACCTACTCTGACGGTGTGTCCTTGTGCAAGTTACTTAACCTCTCTGAGCCTCAGTTTCCTCAAAGGTAAAATGGGGATGCTAACGATAAAATCTTCTTCCCGGGATGGTGGGGGTGGCCCTGGGGCCAGGCCACAGTTCTCTCCAACTGGAACTACATGCCTCCATAAGAAGCAAACAGAGAGGAGGGGAGGCAGAGAGGGGCCCCTGGCTTGGTGGCTTGATGCAGGGTAGGGAAGAGGCAGTGTGTTAGCCCCTCTCCCCTTGCCCCTACCTGGCCCAAGTGAGCACAAGGGGTGGTGACAGAGGAGCCAGATGACCAGGGAGGGCTAATCAACCTGTTGCTGTTGCAGCCTTCCCAAGGTCAAGGAGACCAATCAAGGGCCAGGCTGGGCTGCTCCATTCTCCTCAGGATACAAGGACCTCCTTCCCCAAGCCTTTCTCCTCAGGCCTTGTGCCCTCCCCCACCTCAGTCGATGGGACGGGCTGAGAAGGACCCCTGCGGCCCAGGCAGAGTCCATACCCTAAATGGGTTTCGCAGGGAATGATGGCTCTGCAAATCAGAGATTTTAACTGAAGCCAGCCATCAGTGGCAGGGGATAGAGGGGCCAGAGGGTTGTGGCTCTGACACACCTCCAGGGTAAGGACCCCAGGGTTTCCCCCTCTCCCCACTGTGCTATTGCTTCCTAACCAGGGACTAGCCCCAGGGGAGCTGTCAGAATTAGAAACGGGACAAACCCCAGAAACGGGGTCAGTATAAGAACTGAGCTGGCTGCAACAGAGAACTTGGAATCATAGGTAGCATTAAGGACCTCGGATGAGCACCTCCTATGTGCCCCCTCATTCCTCAAATGGGGATAAAAGTCCTAACCCTATGTAATTGTTGATAATGTCTGTGAGGTACCCAGCACCGGGCCCTGACTCGGCCTACGCCCTGGTAAGTGTGGTCCCTTCCTCACGGGGTCCCGCGCACGAGCCCCGGAACCATGCAGGGCGAGAGGCCGGGGGCTTCCGCAGGGGGGCACTGCTGGAGGCTGGTACCACAGTGTGGGCAGCCCTCCCCACGGGACGCAGCTGCCCACCACCTGGCTCTCACCTTCACGGTCAGGATGAAGCCGTGGCTGTACAGGGGGTTCTCCCGATCCAGTAGGCCATTCAAGGTCAGCGCTCCGCTGATATAGTCCAGGGCGAAGATGCTGTTGGTATTCCCTGCAAGAGAGAGTACCATTCCAGGTATGCCTGCGGCCCAGGCCAGGTGGGCACGGGCTGCAGTCAGGGCTCCTCTCTGTGTGTTAAGGACGAATCAGTAACTTAACACGGATGCTGGCCCAAGGAGTAATGGGAAATGTTCTGGAAGACGCAGCCCATGCAGCAGACAGCACTGATTCACAGAGCAGAGGATGTTCTGCTCCTCCTCTGCTCCGTCTCTTGGAATGAGTCAAGGAGAAAGTCTTGGTTTGGCTTTGGTGAAAGCATCCATCCAACACGTGCTTGTTTTCCTTTGTAACAGAGAGAGAGCAGGCTTCAGGGTTGGAGGCTTCCAGAGGGAGTGGTACTCAGCTAGGACTCAATAACTGCTATGGTCTGAATGCTTGCTTCCCCCCAGAATTCATATGGTGACATCCAAAGCCACACAATGGTATTAGTAAGTGGGACCTTCGGGAGGTGCCTCGGTCTCTACGAAGGTGGAACCTTCACGGATGGAATTAGTCTCTTATAAAAGAGGCCCCAAGGGATCCCATGCCCCTTTGACCATGTGAAGACACAGTGAGGGATCACTGTCTATGAACCAGGAAGAGGGCCCTTGCCTGACCATGCTGACACTCTTGATATTGAATTTCCCAGCCTCCAGAATTTTAGGAAATAAATTTCTGTTGTTTATAAGCCACACAGTCCCTGGTGTTCCGTTATAGCAACCTGAATGGACTAAAGCAGAAACCTAGTTTGGTTTCCTTTGTGCTTATTTTTATGGTCATTTTCTATTCTATTCCATTCTATCCTATTCTAATTTTCTATTTAGTATAAAAGTTCCTTTTATAATAAATGTAAGTTAAAGACCTAAATCGATCTTAAGAATGAGCATTTATTTTAAGTACCTATTAAAACTTGAAGTACATATTTAAAGTACTGGCAAAAATCATACACAAGCAACACCAGCTCAGATGGAAGCTTCTTTGCCCACCCCTGTCTCCCCTACCAACTTCACTTTATGCTTCCCCCTACAGGCATCCCATGTCCCCATAGCGGCTTCCCCAGCTTCCCCAAATCACCACGTCCATTCCTGCTTCCTCTTCTGGCTGTGTACACCTTCCTCTCTGGGCCTCCCCTCCCATCTCCCACCGAGTGCCAGTCTTCCTCTTGCTCCTCCACCTCCTCCAGGAAGGCAGCCCCACTTCTCGGGCTGACCCTCCATGCTCACAGGCAGTAGCCACCGTACTGTTTGCTCTCCCATTGTTCCGTGTGTGTTCACGGGCTCTTCCTGGCCAGCCTGAAGCTGGGCGGCCCTTCATGACTGTCCCTCAAGGACCCTGGCCAGTGCTGGGCATCCAGTGGCAAGCAGGTTCCTGAAGGATCGCTGCTCCCGGCCCACCTGGGCCCCCACCCTTGTCCTTGTACCCTTCCCGCCAGGCTGTGAATTCACCTGGGCAAATCCCAATTCCACTCTTCTCTCTTCCTCATTAACCAGTTTGTTGGCTCATTCACATACTCACACGCTGCCATTCATTCGCAGAGTCAGCCATCTCCAGGGCCCTGTGCGTGGTGCTGTGGGGGATGCGGATGTCAGTCTATCAGGAAGCCTGGTAAGGGGGCTTCGACATGCGTGAGAACCAGCATCTCTGAGTTCACGTCAGGGAGAGACTGTTCACACATGGGAAGGCTCAAGGAAGGAGAGCATCACAGAGGAGGTGGCGTTAAATCCCTACACCACCATGTAGCAGCTGTGTGACCTTGGGCAACTCACCTAACCCTTCTGGCTTGGTCTCCCCATCTGTAAAATGGGGATAATGGATCTACCTCATAAGGTCATGAAAATTAAATAAGTATGAAATATATAGACATATATACACACATGCGGACATGCACACGCACATACCCAGAACAGTTCCTGGCACAAAGTAAGTACTAAGTACTGCTGGGCCCTGGCCGATGGGCAGGAAGGACTGGGGAAGGGGATGGATGGACACTGATTCCACAGGCAGGAACTAATCAATACCCCGGCCTTCGACACACACAGGTGGAAGCTACTGTATCTCCCCCCAAGCCCCATGCCCTGGCTCTAAAGGGATCTGTGCATAGTTAGGGGCTCGTATCATCTCTTGGATCAACAAGGGAAAGCACAGAGTGGACACAATTTCGTCTTCTAACTTTAGACTTTGGGATGGGCTGTTCTCGGCTAACCCTCTGCTGGCTGGCAAGGCATCTGCCTCTACCAGGTTGGTAGCTGGAGGCTGTCCTCCCCTGTCCTCCTGGGCCACTACAGGGGTTGGCTGACGCAGGGGAGAGACAGCTGATGCTTGCAGAGCCCGTTCAGGTCTCCCGTCACTCTCAGACTGTGGGCTTTGGGGACTCTGACGTGGGGCCTGGCCAGGAAGTGGACATCACTCCAGCCTCACCCATGCCCGGAGCTTCCTCCCATGGCCAGAGAGAGACCTGGACACCTTCCTGCTGAGTGGGTGTAGTGGGGAGGACAGGGCTGCAAGGAAGCATAGACATGCATGAAGGTAAGGGGGTGTCTTTTTGTTTAGCCAGGAATTCCGCTGCTGGGGAAGCAGGAGGATGGAGGCTTTCATCTGTGTGTCATTAGCTAATCCGTTCAACAATTACTGAGCTCCTATGATGTGCCAGAGACACATTCTAGCAGGGGATGCAGCCCTCAACCAGGTGTTCACATCACAGGGTGATCAGGGCTGAGGTGGGGTGAAGCATGGACATGACAGGGCCCTTTGGGGGCTGGGTCCTCTGAGTCCCTAAATGCTGAGCTGAAGGGCTGCCCTGAGGCAACACCGCCGAGCTTCCTGCCACCCATTACCCCCCCCACCAGTGTGGGCCCCACCTCCCCAGCCCCTAGGGCTAGCATCCCATCGTTCTGAATTTCCATATAAATTTATTCTTCCCAATAAAGGAAACTACCAAATGTTTAACTAAATGTGATTCAATTTTTATCTTTGTAAGATTTTTCCTATACATCATTCACAAACCAGAAGCCCCTTATTGAATGATGTGCTTTGGGTTTTGGCTTGAAACATGGGGTTATCAACCATGGCACACTCAGCTGGACCTCCCCACTCAGCACCTCTGCCCCAATGATGACCCTACTGCCCATCCCCAACCTGAAGTCTGTCTCCCGCACATAAAATATCACTTCCCCGACCCAGGCATTTTTCTCCAACAAACGTGCAGGCAAATACCCTCCAACTGGTACACATTCAAATTCAGGGACCCTCCTCCAACACACACACACACACACACACACACACCCCTTTTTCCCATATCTACCTGTGTGGAGTTCACCTCTCAGCCTCCTGCCAAGTATGAATCACCAACTCCCAGGACCAACAGCCAGAAAGGGTTACACCCAGGGAGCCGACAGGACCACCTGAGTGAGCCACTGGCTCTGATGGTCTGTCACCATGGCAACAGCAGGACTGCTGGGATGCTGGTTCAGGCACGGGCAGGAGGTGAGTCGGCAGGAGGTGAGCCCTGAGCCCCAAGCAGAGAGGGCCAAGAGTAGGACTCTTTCCAAGACTGATGGACTGAATTACTCATTCATTTGAGTTCGTATTGAGCACCTACTGTTTGCAAGATGCTAGAGAATCAATAGAGAAAAGCAGGCCAGGTTCATGTTTTCAGTTTTACAGTGAAGATCGACATTAACAATATAATCACGCTACTGAACACATAAGTAGGCTCCCTGAAGGAAAGCAACGTGGCATAGTGAGGTGGTTAAGATTATGCCCTCGGGAGGGCGACTGTATGGGTTCAGATAGCTCTGCCTGTTGCTGGCTGGCTGAGCTTGGTTGAGTTATGTAACATATCTGGATGACCTCAGTTTTCTAGTCTGTAAATTGGGGGTAACAATAGTCCTCACCACAGAGTGTTGTGGTGAGGATGGAAGGAGTGAATACAGCACCTGACACGTAGACGTTCTCCACACAGGTCGGCTACCTGTGCTGGACTGAGATGATACCGCTGTGGACCACCTGCTCCATGCCCACCCCCACCCACGCCTGTGACTGAGCCAACCCTGTCCTCTTGCCAGGAGGGCCTCACAACCAAAAGCCCATGTGTACAAGTTGGCAGCCCCAAGGCCAAGGCCAAGGCCCACAGGGCATCTCACCAGGGCTCTGGCCTCGGGGATGGGTCGCCATTTCCTTGCTCTTCTCCCTTAGCTCCCCTCCTACCATCCTCCCTTCCCCGGGGGCTGTGGGCTTGGCAGCCACACAAACAAGTTTTTCTGCTACCCTGGAAGCTGATACCATGCTGTCAGCCCTCTGGTCTCCCAGACATTCTTTATCCAAGTCCCGTGGGGACTGGGGGGCCAGGGGAGGCTTACCCGGGACGCCTTTCACCTGTTCAGCCCCCATTGCTGAGCAGAAGGACAGCTGCTTCCCCTGGGTCGACAGGTGCTGTCCTAGGTGCGTGTGGATATACCTGGTAGGGGAGGGGTTCTGGGGTGGAGTGGGACTGCACCTCGGTGCCCTAAGGGCCCTGGGAACTGCTGACTTAAAGCATTCACAAAAGAGAAGAAGCGGGTCCCTATGGCCCTGCTGGTTCTCTTGGGGGCAGTCACCCCTTCTAGGAGCTCTAGGCACCCAGACCTCTTCAGATTCCCAAAGGAAAGGCCGGGGGGATGTGAATCGAGTCTGCGAAAGCATGAAAGGCTGCCAAGGGGGCATCCCAGACTTCTTTCCCTTATTTAGGAAGAATAGGAGCTAGTACTCATCGAGAAGTTCCATGTGCCAGGGACCGACTGAAGCCGTTCGTGCAGCCATATTACTTACTCCTCACAATAACTTAGTAAGAACATAGCCATGTGAGGAAGCAGGTTCGGAGACGTCAAATAACTTGTCCAAGGTCACGTGGCTACCAAGCGGGCTGGCTTACATCTCTCTTTCTTGCCCCACGGGCATTGGCCCTGCACACCTTTGCACCCACTCTGCACTTGGCCCCATGCTAAGGGACAAGCAGATGTGAAGACACAAGAGATC